GTCCTTATATACCCCTTATATAGCCGGGTAGTCTCCATATTGACCCCAATAACCTACAAGGGTCCCTCTTAAGGGTCCCTCCTAAAGCCCTTGGAATATTTCATATTCACAAGGGTTCATGCAAGTACTCATGTGGGACACAGCTACGCCACAAAAGTACCGAATAGGCAAATCCTTTAGACAATTGGGTCGCAGGTCTACCTATAGGCTCATACGCTACCCTTTGTTTGGTCACCTACTTTTCTATATATAACCAGGGGTAGGGTATGACCCTCTAGGTAGTGTGGAGTTTAGGGTCAAGGACTTTGGAGTCAGAGATCAGGGTGCTGAACCCTAAACCCTAAACCCTAAACCCTGAACCCTACACCCTAAACCCTAAACCCTAAACCCTAAAGCCCTAAAACCCTAAAACCCTAAACCCTTTCTGTTTTTAGGACCCGCCATGGCACTGACTGAGGACGCCCACGTGTCCCTCAAAGACAGCGATCCACCACACACCCATCGAATGCATCTCGGCACGGGAGCCCTTGAGCCCTAAGCCCTTATTGAACCTTAAGCCCCTACACGGGATTTATAGGGTTTAGGGTTTAGGGTTTAGGGCTGAACCCTAAACCCTAAGCCCCTAAACCCCTAGACCCTTAAGCCCTAAAGCCTCAAATCCTAAGACCCTAAACCCCCAAACCCCGAACTCCTAAACCCTTCTGCCCTAAACCCCTAAGCCCTAAACCCCCTAAACCCTAAACCCCTAAGCCCTAAACCCTTATGCCCCCAAAACCCTAAACCCCCCAAACCCGAAACCCTAAGCTAAGTCTGCAGTCGCAAAACGGAGCTCCCGAAACCAAAGCCTTACATGACAACGCCGAAACCTAGCAGCCCAAACTCAGGCCCTGATCCCAAAACCAAGGGGCTAGGGTTTAGGGTTTAGGGGTTAAGAGTCTAGGGTTTAGGGGTTTAGGGGTTAAGAGTTTAGGGTTTAGGGTTTTAGGGTTGAGGGTTTAAATGAGGGGTTATGGATTAGGGTTTAGGGGCCCTCAAGGCCCTAAAATGCAATAAAGGCTTTGAGAAGCACAAAAGCCATAAACCGCACGACACGTTTCAATCCGCTTTTGCAACATCCTCAAAGCCGCAGCATGCCCTCCTGAAATGCCCTAAAAGCACGAAACATGCTTTCAACATGCTCGCTATCTCCCAAAGACGGCCTAAATGCTTCAAACCAAAGGTTTCGGGCTTTAGGCGTTGATTAGGGTTTAGGGTTTAGGGTTTAGGGTTTAGGGTTTAGCCTAGGGTTTAGGGTTCAGGGGGTGGGGATAGAGAGTATAGGGGTTGAGGGTTCAGGATTCCGAGTTCAGGGGTTTCGGGTTAAAGGTTCAGGGTGTAGGGGTTTAGGGTTTAGAAGTTTGGTTTTAGAGATTAGAGGTTAGAGTTCAGGGTTTTGGGGTCAATTAAAGGTTTGAGAGGCTAGCTGTGGATCCGAAACCCTACCCTTATAAGGGTTATACCCTATAGTTAATGAAGGGGTCATAACCTAGTTTGTAGGGTTAGGGGTTGCCTGTAGGGTTTAGGGGTAGTGCTAAACCGTAAACTTTTAAACCCTGCACAGCCCTAAACCGTATTCCAGGTCCTAGGCTAACTTAGCGTCTTGTTGTGTTGAGGTCAGGTTTTGCAGGTTCGGGGCTATCGAGACATGATCTAAACCCTAAACCCAAAACCCTAAACCCAAAAACCCTAAACCCCTAGACACTGCCAGGTTGTAGTGTCCAGAGCTTCAGCCCCGAATCTTTCCTATGATAAGGAGGTTTCGCCTGGAAGCCCTGTCTGCCAGCACGGTTTAGGGTTAGAGGTTTAGGGTTTAGGGTTTAGGGTTTAGGGTTTAGGGTTTACGGTTTAGGGTTTGGGGTTTGGGGTTTAGGGTTTAGGGAGGATTGGCAAAGATCTGGCTGTTGTTTAAACTACCCTGAACTGTAAACTCTAAGTCGAAGTCATCTGGGGACCAGCATCCAGACCGCCGGAAGGATCCAACAATCAGATCCCTTAAGAGCGTTCCTATAAAGTGTCCCTCAGTAGTATATGGTACCAAATTGGGGGATCTACTTTTTGGATGCTTCCGACGGTCTGGGCAACAGCATTTTCTGTCTTGGCTTAGGCGGGTTGGCACATTCAGTCAGTAATCAAAACCTAAACCCTAAACCCAACTAGGGGTTGAGCTGTGAGCCCAGGCTCGAAACCCTTGAGTACTCGATAACAGTTGACTTCCCTACAGTATAGGAAGCTTCAAAATCCTGTTCCAACACTTCACCTAAACCCTAAACCCTAAACCCCTAAACCCTAAAACCCTAAACCCTAAACCCTAAACCCTTAACCCTAAACCCTAAACCCTAAACCCTAAACCCTAAACCCAAAACCCTAAAGGCTTCCATGCTCGCTAAGCCCTGGCCCAATTACTCGCGCGTGTAGCTTACCCCCGCCATGTGAGTCTTCTTTTCGAGACGTCCTACGCCCTCCCAGACCTCGGCTGAAGACCCCACCCTAAACCCTGACCCCCTGAACCCGGAACCTTGCATCTAACTCCCTTAGCTGCTAAAGTGATCGAGATGGTTTAGGGCTTAGAGGCCGTGATGGCTTCCTTCCCCCCAAAGCCCGATGCCCGAAAGCCCGATGGTATCCTGATGAATCCCTCAAGCCCTAAAGTCGAAGCCCCTACGCCCTAAAATAAAAGAAGCTACAGGTGGGGAGTTTAGGGTAAATAGGGCTTCTATAAGGCTTCTATAAGGTATATAGACCTTCTATAAGGCTCCTATAACGGTAACTACCCACCTGAAACTGTCCTTAGACTAAACCCTAAACCCTAAACCCTAAACCCTAAACCCTAAACCCTAAACGCTAAGGCCCCAGAGCCCTAAAAGTCTCACGGGGGTTGATCCTTTCGGGCTTTCTGGGACTTAGAAGGGCTCTCGGGCTTAGGGTTTAGGGTTTAGGGTTTAGGGTTTAGGGTTTTAGGGTTTAGGGTTTAGGTGCTGAGGAAGTGCAACCCAAGGGGATTTCGGGCTTGGGGTTTCGGGTTGTTAAGTTCTAGGGCTTAGGACCTTCGAGCCTAAAACCTACGTCACCCTAAACCCTAAACCCTAAACCCTAAACCGTCTTGAAAGCCTAAGCCCCAAGGCAGGTTTAGGATTCCGGTCTAGGGTTTAGGGTTTAGGGTTTAGGATTCCGGTCTAGGGACTTGTCGGTATCCTTGTGTAACCCAAAGGCTCCAAATAGACTACCATTGTGGAATTAGGTCCCAAAAGACCAGCCATAGTATGGCTTTTAGTGCCTAATTCCATAATAGTAGTACAGATGGAGCCTCTAGACAGACCACCGGGAGGATCCAAAAAATAGATCCCCCAAAAGATTCCTATAAAGTACCCTTTAGTAGTTAGGGTCCCCAATTGGGGGATCTATTTTTCAGATCCTCCCGGTGGTAGGGGTAGATAAGGCTTCGGAAAGAAGAGTGGGAAGCTGGGAAGCCGGCCAAAAGGAAGAACATCATGACCTGAGACATGGGATTCCCTAACCTAAACCCTAAACCCTAAACCCTAAACCCTAAACCCTAAACCCTAAACCCTAAACCCTAAACCCTACCGGGGTTTAGGGTTTAGGGTTTTAGGGTTCGCTAGTTTCAGGGTTGGTTCTAGAAGGGCTCTCAAGGGCTTTGGGTTTGAGTGTTTAGGCTTTGGGGTCTGTAGAGTCTAAGGGTGCTAAGCTTAAGGGCCGTCTGTCCCTTTATAGGGTATAGGGGTTAGGGTTTAGGGGAAGCTTAAGGGCCGTCTGTCCCTTGAAGGGCCCTTTTGCCTTCGTACGTCTGCTTGGTCTGCCCGGGGTTTACAGTAAACCCCAAACGCTGGCAAACCGGATGAAGGACAATTGGTGCTGGGATTCCCTATACGTTAGTGTTAAGGATTGAGGCTTTTGGGTTTCCAACTTTTGGAATTCTACTCTAGGGTTTATGATGGCCTAACCCAACTTGCTACCCCAACCTACCAAGTCAAAGAGGAAATCAGGGTAGGGGCTCTAATAAATAGAATAGGGTTTTGGGCTCATTGATACTGTGTTCATAATAAGGAACCCCCGGAATACTATTGTTAGTATAAATCCTGCATTGCCTCAAAGGACCCTAAACTATGGATATTACAGTATATTACTTATTATGGGTAAAGCAGAATTCATATCATCAACAAACCCTAAATCCTACTCTAAACCTAAACCCTAGACCCTAGACCCTAAACCCTAAACCCTAAACCCTAAACCCTAAACCCTAAACCCCAAACCCTAAACCCAAAACCCTAGTATAGGTAACTGTTAAGGCCCCTATATTACGTGATGACGGGAGATCGTTGGAGGTTTTGCATGTAAGGGGTCTTCTGTTCAGGAGCCTCTAGGGTTTGGGTTGGGGGAATATGTTAGGGTTTAGGGTTGGCAGCCAAACATCTTGGACTTGGAAAGAAAAATCTAGATAAGGAAGCGACTGACCTCAGTGCTGTTAACTGTACATACAGCCTTACCCTGAGCCCTAACCTCAAAACCATGGAACGGGTTCTAAATGTTAACTTATGGCTGAGTGCCAGTGCCCTTAAGCCCTAACCCTAAACCCTAAACCCTAAACCCTACACCCTAAACCCTAAACCCTAAACCCTAACCTGTCCATTCTCGGACCAGCGGCCTTGGGTGAACAGATGCCGCAAATGCCGCAGAGGCCACCTGATTGCTCACAGGTGAACAGAATTCGGGGCAGGGGTCGTGGCGCTCAGGTTCACGCGTCATTTAACATTTCAGCCTAAGGGGGTTTAGGGTTTGGGGGTTTACGGTTTAGGGAAGTCAATGAAACTAGCATGTCCCTATCAATTGACTCATACCTCGAGGGTCCATGCCTACCCTGCCCTATCAAACAAGACCTTGAAAGAAGCTTGTTACGGTATCGGAGTTCCGTACACTGAAATGTAGCGCTTTAAGTTACAACGCGCCTATCTGACCTGATAAGGGATTTTGAATCAGGTCGTTATATCCAAAAGCCTTGTATATATGTTACATATACATATGTGTATATGTATATACATGTTCACACATTATATATATATATACACACACACGCGTATAGATATAAACATGTGTGTGTATATATATATATGCATGTATATACACATACATATATATATATATGTATATATATATATGTATGTATGTATGTATGTATGTATGTGTGTATAAATATATGCTCGCCCCCCCCCATGATCTACCATCGGTGGTTCTGGGGAGTGGGGAGAAC